AATATTCAATTGTACCCATAACTGAAGAACTATAAACTAAAATACAGCAATCATCTTAATATAAAAGGTTACAAAGTGTTTAAAATTTGGTAATACTCAGTCTTGACCAGGGAGTGGGGAAAGTAATTGAATAATTTGGTAAAATGTAATTTACTTAATTGTAGTTTAGAGCTAAAAATGACACCTTGGGCCTATCCACCAATCTACACTACAGTGTAAATTACTCTATTCTTCCGACTAGAGTTTCATTGACTCCCACTACTATCCAGTTTACTGGACTAAGGGAGAAAGTAGGCCCCGTGTTCAGTGCTCGGCTTGCAGCCTCATGTCTGTGAGCCTGTTTACTGTGGCATCACCCTCTAGTTGGACAACGTGGGACACAAGAGCAGAAAGGAGTCAAGAAGGCACCAGGTACAGAGAAATGGCAGATGGCAAGAAACAGTCCTCTCAGTTCAAACGCTTAGGCCTTGTGTTCAGTCTGTGTGACAGACTACAGACTTCTACCCAGGCATCCTTGAATGCAACAAGAACACAGTCAACGTCCATGCAGTCAGCAAGAGCAAGACCAGGCCATGTGAAGGTGGCAGATTCTCATTTTGTTTTTCCAAAGGAGACAAAACAAGAAATGAGTGACTTGTTCAAGGACATACACCTGATTAGAATAGGGCCAGCACTAGGACCCAGGCACTCCAACTTGCAGTTCAGGCCCCTTTCTACACTGGGCTGCAGTTCCCCTCGTGTGGACATGTGAACATGGCCAGATCAGGATTGACAGGTTAGACTGAGGACAAGACAGGAGCATTAGCAGTCCATCCCTGCTAAGCACCATAACATCTGCCAGCATCCACTCCAGGGGCTCCAAGTTAAGGGACACTGCACAGTCTGCTTATTCTATTTCAAAAGATCTCCTAGGGCCGGGGCATAGCTCAGGAATAGTTTGTGGTTGTAGTTGTACTTGTCAACTTGACATAAACACCTGGGAAAAGAGTCTCAGTGAGGAATTGGGTTGGCCTATGGGCAGATCTGTAGGGGAGTGCCTTAATTAAATTAATTGACATGAGAAGACCCAGCCCAGTGTGGGTGGCACCATTCTCTAGACAAGGGTCCCAGCATTGTATAAGAGTAACAAAACCAGGCTGAGTACAAGCAGTCAAGCAAGTGAGCATGCGCATCCATTTCCCTCTGCTTTGGAGTGTGGATGAGACGTGACCGACTCTTTCAAGGCTGTGTGGTTTCGACCTCCCCACACCGTTTCTCCCTTGAGTTGCTTGCCACTGGGGTATTTTTATCACAACAGAAATGAAACTCAAAGAGAGCCCTGGCCAATGTGCACAAGGCTCCAGGTTGGATTCCCAGCACCAGAAAACAAACAAACAAAACAGAGAAAGAGAGATAGAGAGAGAGAGAGAGAGAGAGAGAGAGAGAGAGAGAGAGAGAGAGAGAGAGAGAGAGAGATGGATGAATCTCCTGAGTTGTTCATGGCCACCACAAATTTCCCTCTCATCCAATGTCACCAATCACTCATCCTGTCTAGTCTCACCTGATCCTCCTCCTGTCTCTTTATATCCAGTGTTACAAGCAATATCAGGAGCCTCTTGTTAACCTTCCACTCTACAATGACCCAGACCAGCACTGCCCAACAATATAATACAAGACAGACATGAGCCATGGGCACGTAAGGTTAATACTGTGTGGTAACCACATTTTGAAAGGTAAAGAGAAGCTGATGAACATTTGTAATAACATACTTTACTTAATCCAATATTTATAACATATTACATCAATGTCCTATCAATATAAAAATTACTAATGACAAATTTTACATTCTTTTTCACATAAATTTTTTAGATCTGGTGCAAATTTTACACTCACAAGGCATCTCTTTTGGACTAGCTACATTTTAAATGCTTAAAAGGCACAAAGTCAATGTTCACCATACTAGACAGCGTGGAACTAGAAGTTCCGTGAGGTTTTTTTTTTTTTTTTAAAGATTTATTTATTTATTTATTATGTACACAGAAGAGGGCGCCAGATCTCATTACAGATGGTTGTGAGCCACCATGTAGGTGCTGGGAATTGAACTCAGGACCTCTGGAAGAGCAGTCGGTGCTCTTAACCTCTGAGCCATCTCTCCAGCCCCCGTGAGTTTTTAAAATCATATTTGCTCACTTCTACGCTTCCTGTTCTCCAACAAAGGCAAACCTCACGCATGTCTGTCTAAGCAAGGGCTCTGCTACAGAACTACATTCCCGAGTTGTGCTTGTACTTTTGCTTTTGTTTTTAGGTTAGTGTTTGTTTGTTTGTTTGTTTGTTTGTTTGTTTGTTTGTTTGTTTGTTGTGAGGCCAAATCTCACCATGTAGCCCTGGCTGGCCTAGAGCTCAATATGTAGACCAGGCTGGCCTCAAACTCATAGTGATCCAGCTGTTTCTTAAATGCTAGGATTAAAACCTTACTTGGCTTAAGGCTACAAACTTTTAAAGCTTGTTATTTCCAGTTTCTTCAACATGTCTTCACACTCATGCTCTAATACAACCAACAGTTTTAGGTGGCACATGTCACGGCTGTGTCTGTCTTCACGGTGGCGCCTCTCCATACCTGGCTCCTGTCTACCCGACTGTTACAAGTCATTGCTGCATTCCCCATCTCCTGCTACCCTCTTCTCTGTGGTGACTGGCTGGGAAAACAGAATGGCAGAATTCCCATCCCCTCACCACCCTACAGGATGCTAATCCATTCAGAGGACCTAGTTCTGCTCTCGTGGACCCAGGGTCACTGATTCACAACTCAGAAAATTCAAGTTACAGAAAAACCCGGCTACAGAACAGCTCTACGGTTATTTAAAAACAGGTTTGTCATTTATTTTCACATAAAAGTATTTTTACATAAGGCCACTTCTGTTTCTTTGAAAAATAAATTCGTCTAATAGCTGTCCACCAACACAAGACAAGCTACCACTTTTTCAAAGGATCTATTTCGCACCTCAGAGATTTGGTTACAACTAAAATTATGGTTCCTACGTAGACATGCAGTGTCATCGCTAGAAAAAGTGGGCTGAGCATAAGGTGGACACCTTCATAAACTTAAACCGGCCTGGTTAGCCTATAGAGGGACTGCGGGGTGGGGGGAGGCATAATCCCTTAAACACCTGAGTTTCTAAATTTGATAGTTTGCTTTCCTTTGCTCAGATGTTCAGGACCAATCTGCTCGCCTCTTTGGAAAATGAGGCCTGTGGGACTCCGAACAGGAAAGCTGCAAGACCTGGCTAAGTCCTGGCAGTCAGCTGTAGCCATGGGCACGAGCTCAGCTATCCATTCATCCTGCTTTGCAGCCTGCCCTGCGGCCGGCGGCAAGCTCAATCAATCGGTTCCCTCCAGCTCTGCCACCCCTAACCCTTGGGAATCATCTTCCTCTCTGTTCACGATCCCCCAAAGCACCTGCTTCCTCATGCACTTCCTCTTTCCTAAAAGACAAGATGGCTGGCAGTCCTGCAGTGAAAAGGGAAAGATAAGCTGCTGTATGGAGAAAAAAAAAAATCCTGAAATGAGTCACCTTTCAAGAATTTGCAATCCTCGTCCTCGGGCCTGGGTGCTGTCATGCTAAGTCAGTCCTCCTAGAGAAACTAACTCACTGTATTTGTTACGCGTACAGTTCTCCGGTGATATTTACACTGTACACCCGCCCTTCCTAAGAGCCACTTGTAGGTATAAAGTATGTCAGCTGTGCACAGTTGTAAGCTGCACAGCGGACTTTAAAGGAGCCTAAGGAAAATCAGATCAAAACGGAGTTTCGGTTAGGTTTGTACCAGCTCTTGACAAGTTAGGGAAAACAGCGGCAGATCCCCAAACTTCCCACTTGCTCCCCCAGGCACTGCAGCTCGCTCAAATTTAACCAGCTCTAGGAACACTCCGGGCCTATACCCAGGAGAGCCTTTCCTTCCGCTGATTCTCTCCGCAGCTCAAGTCAGGGGCCCGCGGCTGCTGTTGGCTGTGGTCTGCTAGGGTTCCGCCTGGCCTGATTTTTCATGCTGCCATTTTGAATTAGCATAGGTTTCCTCAGCAAGCGATGATCTTTCAGGCAGGCGTGAAGCACAGTATACACACACACACACACACACACACACACACACACACACACACACACACACACACACACACACCAGGAAGAGGCACTTAACAAGCTACAATTACACAGAAAAACCATGCTATTTAACGGAACCCTACTAGGTCAGCTTGGGAGACAGAAAATAATAAGTTGCCTTAAAGACAAATGGATGTGATCGACATTTTTATTCCTAAGTTCTAACCGATTCTCTAAAATTCAAGCATCCCTCTCGCCCTGTAGACCTCACAGTTGTTGCTAAATAATTATGTCGGGACAGAAATAACAAAACGAGGAGATGAAGGTAAACTGGGGTGGACTGCTAGCAAGGGTCTAGACACCTGCTGTGACCCCACCCACCCCCAACTCCAATGCAGGGGTGATGCCGAGGGCGGGGGCGGGGGGAGCAGTGTCAGGTCCCAGTGCATTGGCCTTTGGGACCGACCGCGGACCCCGGGACTCTGAGGGGGCGGCCCAGGCAGCAGCCCCATCAGGCGCCGCAGGTGCATTACACCGGGAAGGAGCCAGGCTTTCTGGGCTAGCCGCGCCTGCCAGCCCGAAACCCTGGGAGCCGCCCGGGGAAGCACGAGACACTTCACCCGGCGCTGCAACTTGGCGCACAGGAAAATCAGCCCTGGGGTTGTAAGACTGAGAGGGAGATGCGGGAAGGACGCGGGGTGGAGAGCAGGAGCGGGTTCTGACCAGGCTGCAGTAGCTTTGCCCCGGCAGTCCCTGGTCTTGAGTCACGCCCGACCCAGGCCACCTCTCAACTGCTCTCCTCTCTCCCGGCCTGCAATTGGGAGGGGAGGCACGGGACATTAGAACGGCAATGGGAAATGTGACTGCCCAGGGGAAGAGCAGCAGCCCGCGCCCCGCGCTCCCCGCGTAGCCTGAGGCTCACCTGCTAAAGCAGCGGGCTCGGGCCGGGTCCTGTGGTGCTGATGCTGAGACTGCCGAGTTGGGAGCGCTGCGGCGGCCGGGTTACTGCGTCTGCATCAGGGGCTGCAGCGGCAGTAGAGCAGGCCACCGCCGGCGCTTCCCGATCTCCAGACTCGGAGCTCTCCAGCCCCCTGCTAACAGCTGGCTGGGTCACGTGACTGCGGGCCCACCCTCCCGCCTCCCTGCGCCCTGGGCCCCAGGACTAGACTGTGTTTGACTGTCACGGCCTCAGAGCCTGCCCCGCCAGGGAGGGGAGGGGACCAGGAGCCCCAAGAGCAGCAGAGAGGGCGGGACTCAATCAGAAAGTGGCTACCTCCTTTCTAGATTTTTATTTCTTGGTTGCACTCTCTCAAAGGGAAGAACAGAGCTTTAAGGAGCCAGGCCCAGCTTCCTCCTGGCAACATTTTTACTGACCCTGGTGTTTGGTCGCTTGTCTGGGCCTTGCTGCCTAGGGGAGAATTCCCTGCAGAGATCTGTGTTCTGCAGCTGGTTGACTCTTGTGTCCAAGTTGTTCCCTGATTTTAACCGATCGTGTTCCTAAGCCAGACTGTGCACCATGCTCACACTTTGTAGACCAAGGGTATACAGCAAGTAACAAAGCCAAGATTCCACACCAGGGTTAATAAACTTTTTGTGGGTGAAAGGATGATGCCCACCTTACTGACAGTGCATCTGGGGCTGTGACTCGATTGACCTTGAATAGATTGATAAGAAAAGGCCGTATCAAACTATGAGAAGAAAGTCCACAAGGAAATAAAAGCAGTAGATCCGCTGCGGGAGAAGACCTACAGCATTTTCCAATAATCAGAGGAACACAAATCGAAGTTTTATAGCCTCTATGGAGGGATTTGGCAATATCTCTCAAAATAAGAACATGTGTAGATTTTCACCTGATTCCACCTTAGGAATTTATCCCACAGAGGGAAGGGTACAGTGTGAAATGAGCAGGAGGTCCTCCGTGGCATATGATCTGTACTAGCAATGGCTAGAAGTGAATGTCAGTGTGGTGACACACACCTGTAATCCTTTCTTTAGGGAGGCTGAGGGAGCAGCGCCAGTTGGAGGCTAGCCCAGTCTACATAGTAACACCTTGTCTCAAAAAATAAATTAAAAGATTGAATAAAATTCAGCCTATAAATACCATGGAATGCTATCCAGAATATTTTAAAGATGAGAACAGTGTCTATGTACTGATACAAGACTTCCAACCTATACCAAATAAAAGACTAAAGCAGGGAAAAGTTAGGTGCAGAACAGTGTGTGTGTGTGTGTGTGTGTGTGTGTGTGTGTGTGTGTTGTGGAAATTTGGCCATTTGTCTAATGACCAATGGAATGGGGTGGGTTGGCCTGATGAGCACGGTCTTCTCTGAAGATACCAAATGCTTTAGGAATGGAGGGGGGAGGGTCACACAGCCACTAGGATGGTGGAAGTCTTCTAGATGCCATGGCTTGGTGACCTGGTCTGGACCTTTCCCCACCCCTCCCCTGGTGGGTGAAGAGGCAGCGGCACTCCTTCATTCTGTATTTGTGAGTGTGTTATATCAATTACATCCTTTAATAAGTAAGTGTTGATCCAAGACTTCCATGGACTGCCACTGTGTGTGTATGTGTGTGTGTGTGTGTGTGTGTGTGTGTGTGCAGAAAATAATATATGCACTTGTACTTCCCTTTGCAAATGCATAGGTTACCTTTGGAAGGAGTCATAAGAAATTGTAACTGGGGATTCCACAGTGGAGGAGAGCTGGGTGACTGGCTGCTAGGAAAGGAGACTTTTTACCATGTCTCCTAACTGTGTGTGTACTTGGAGCTTGTCGGGTCAGTGAGCAGACAGTGGGGGAAGGATGAAGGAATGGAAGTGGACAGTGTAGAACAGATGGTTGGTTCACAGACTTGGAACGCAAAGGTGCCTTATCGTTTATTTACTCCAAACAAAGAACTGTGGCCTAATGTGTGTGGTTAATCAACATCAGAATCTTGCCATAACTACTGAAGTTAGTCTACAGAGCTGAGGCCAAGGAACTTGCATTCTGTCCAGCCTTCTGCTTCTCCTTGTGGATCAAACCTTGACAGCTGCTGTTGAAAGTGTGTCCTTTATCTCCAGAGTCTGCACAGAGACACTGTTCCATGGTGTTAGCTGCTGCTGTTTGAAGTGTCTCCCTTATCTCCAAAGCTGCACAGAGACACTGTTCCGTGGTGTTAGTAGCACTTATGAAGCATCAATAAGACATTTTTTTCCCTTGGCTTTGTACAGGAGAGACAGATTCTGCTGCCAGTTAAGTCACATAAATAGAAATAAGGGAACAGAACAGTCCAACAGATACAAAAAACATCCAGAAATATCAGTTAGGGCTTTCTTTAATCATTGGCCTCTACTAATCATGTGAAGTCTAGCTGTGTGCAAATTACAAGGCTTTTGTGAGCTAGCCTACATGGACAAAAATCTCCTAAATAACATACAATTGTCACATAGTCAATTATAGTCTATCCGGCATGCTCAGAGACCTGAGAGCTGGTAAATAACAGTGCATTGTATGGCACTTTATTCCACAAAGTAGGCAAAGCTTTTTCTTCTCCAGGACCAAAAAGGGAAGGTAGGGGTACAGTAGTGAGTCTAACCTTCATGCATTGTCATGAGGGACATTCATAAAAACTCTTTAGAGAAAACCCTATGGGTGTACTTCTGGTGTTATAGATAAGCAGTTAAGATGGAAATTATTTGGGAAACTGCATAATGTACAATCTCAACAACATCGTAACTGTTGCTGATATAACCTCTCTTCCCCACTTGGGTTACTGTTAAGAACATACACAGAGGCCAGTGAGCTGGCTTAAATAGTGATGCACTTGCTTCAAAGCCTAATGACCTAAGTTCAATCTCTAGGACCCACATAGTAGAAGGAGAGAACTGACTCCTGCAAGTTGTTCTCAGACCTTATATGTGTGCCAGGGCATGTGTACGTATACACACACACACACACACACACACACACACACACACACACACACACACACACACACACACACACACACACACACACACACCCTACATATTCATGCACATAATCTTTGCCTACTTAAGATGGCAAGAATTTCCCCTGTCTTTGCATGCAGAGATTGATAGCATTAAATTTCTGCTTAGGACCCTGATCCATTCCCATTTCATTTCTGTGAAAGGGAAGAATAGGCTAGTTACTTTTTAGATGTGAGTATTCAGTTGCTCAATACCATTTGATTATTCCCACTGAGTTACTTTGCTGTTGTTAAAAAAAATCAATTGGCTGTATAAATGCAAATCTATTTTGGCTGTATTGTTCCATGTATTTATCTTATGTCAACAGTACATTCTCGTGGTTGCTGTAGCTTTTTAGTGAGTCTTAAAGTCAGGGAGCTTAAGTCTTCCAACTTCAGTTTCTTTCAAAACTGTTTTGGTTGTTCTAGGTACTTTGTACTTCCCAATAAATTTTGGAATCTTTTCATCAGTTTCTATTATTAAAATCTTGACTGGTATTACCTTTAATATCCAGCTGATTTTGGAGAAAATTCCCATCTTAATCTGAGTTTCCTAATATATGAACATATTTCTCCATTCATGTAAGTTGTCTTTTAATTTTCCCAGATTTTTATAGTGTCCAGCAGCAAGTCTTAAGCAGACTTTGTTTAGTAAGTATCCCATGTTTGTTGATGCTCTTATAACTACTAATTTTCTGCTTTACTCTTAACTGTTTGTCACTACTGTTTAAAGCACTTGATGTCTCACATGTGTGTATTGTGTGGGTGTGGGTAGACACAAGTTCAGTGTGTACATGGAGGTCAGAGAACAACTGTGGGTGCCAGTCCCCAGGTGCTGTCTGCCCCCCCCCCAACTTTTTTTCTGGAGATAGGGTCTTTCCTTGACCTAGAACTTGGCCATGTAGACTAGGTTGGCCTTTGAGCTTTCAGGGATCTGCCTGGATCCACCTCCTATCTATCTCTCTGTCACTGAGATTACTGGTACATGCCACCACACGTGGCTTTCTATGTGGGTCCTGAAGATCTGGATATAGGCTCTCACGTCATCAAGACACACATTATGTCAACTGAGCCACCTCCCCTGTCCAACCACTGACTCTTGTACACAGCTGCTCTTTCACTTAAAATGATGTTATGCCAAAAGAAATCATAAGTAGGAAATACGTTTAACTACACCTGGCCTACATCATCAAGGCCTGGCAGAATGTCACTTTGGGAGCTGATACTGAGGATCACAGCTTGGGAAAAGAGACTTCAGCTTTGAAGTGTGCTTTCTAGTCCGTGTGTATCACTCTCACTGTCAAGTCAAAAGATTATGAATCAGTCAGGCACACCTTTAATCCCAGCACTCGAAAAGCAGAGGCAGGTGAATCTCTGTCGGTTTGAGGCCAGCTTGGACTACATAGCAAGATCCAGGCCAGGGCTACAAAAAATGAGTTTCTGTCTCAAAAACAAACAAACAAACAAAACAAAACAAAACAAAAAAACCCAAGAAATACTCAGTTCAAACTATCATGAAGGATGATACTCGTTGACTGCGCTAGTTGGCTTTAATCAACTTATTCTAGTTGGCTTTAATCAACTTAGCTGAAATCATCTGCAAAGAGGGAGCCTCAGCTGATGAATCACCGCCATCTGTTGGCCTGTTGGCAAGTCTGTGGGGCATTTTCTTGATCAATGATTGGTGTATTTTCTGACTTGGATTCAAACATAAGGAATTCCTGTGAGGCAAAACCAAAAGGAGACCATTCTTCTGTGGTGTCTTCTTTAGATCTTTTCTCCAGGTTCCTGTTCTGACTTCCCTGCATGATGGGCTTTCTTCCTTATGGTCTGTCTTCCATAGGGCTTCTATGGCTTTGATAAAATACCATGACCAAAAGCAACTTGGGGAGAAAAGGGTTTGTTTCATCTTACAACTCCCAGGTCACACTCCATCACTGAGAGATGTTATGGCAGGAACTGAACAGAGATCATAGAGGAGCCCTGTTTCCTGGCTTGCTCCTCATGGTTTGTTCAGCCTTCTTTCTTATACCACCCAGGACCACCTAACCTGGGGTGGCAGCACCCACAGTGGGCTGGACCCTCCTACATCAATCATTGCCCCCACAGACTTGCTTACAAGCCAGTCTTTGATGGCATCTTCTCAATTGAGAT